GTCTATAGACAAATGCTCTGTGTGTGTGTGTGTGTGTGTGTGTGTGTGTGTGTGTGTGTGTGTGTTGTTCATTGCACAATACAAGGAAGCCAGAACAGACACAGTTAGGGTAAAAGGCTTGGCATTGTGACTGAACTCACACACAGAAAAACACACTTATATGCTTTTATAATTTAAATTTGACAGGGAGTATAATTTGGTTTTCAAATCCAAGTTGCTGTTATGATGATGACAAGTTGAAAAGACAATGGAAGAGACATCTTTATTTTCATATTAGGAGGGATTTGATTTGTTTCTCAATTTATAAGAAACTTCTTGATACACTCCAAATAAATGGTGACAGGCCATCTATTAAAAGTTGCAAAATCCTAACGATTGTTCCAGGTGATTGCCGGGATGCTTGGTTAGTTTCAAGGCATTCACATAAAGCAGGTGAACATGATGGATTTGGGATAGGAGGCTCACTGACCTCAATCCCTGAAGAAGTATCCTGGAAGAGACATCACCCAGTCAGAAACATGGAACTTCTTAAATTCCAACCACCAACCAATGTTGGCTGATAGAAGGTGAAACCAAGCCAGGAAAGGCAGCATGTTGCCCACAAACCCCAGTACAATCATTATGGAAGGAGCAGAAATGCTGGAAGTGGCCCAGAAGTCACCAACAGTGTCTCCTGGTGCCTTTCTTTCTGAATAAGGGCACTGAACACTGAGCCTGCTTTAGCCTAGGGCTCTGGTCCTACACTGCCAGCGAGTGAACAACCTCCTCATGATTGCCTGGCTTTGTCGGGCTTGATTCCTTCCATAACTCCCCTGACCTAACCCTAATCGGAGTGAGGGAACTGGCTGGGGAATGAATGATTTAGATTTTGATAAAGCCTGCCCAAGACCTAGAGAAAGTGCTACCTACCTATAGTGTATACTATGAAGCCCAGACACTTCCTACTCATGTAATAACTAGGAAATTACTTAGCCTTTCTGCTCTTCAGCCTCCTCCTCTGTAAAATGGGATAATAACAGTTTGCTTTGAGGGGTAAATGCCCTAATTTACCTGGTGTGTCAGGACATGCAAGACACGTGCCAGGTGGCAGTCTTGAGTCTTATTATTGTTTCCTTTAGTTTCAAATTGATTTTGATAATGGCTACCGGGCTGGGGGACACTGGATCTTTCCACTCTTGTAGATATATTTTTTAAAAAATATTTATTACTATTATCTTGTGTGTGTGTGTGTGTGTGTGTGTGTGTGTGTGTGTGTGTGTGTGTGTGTGTACCACATCCATGCCCAGTCCTGGAGGAGGCCAGAAGAGGGAATCAGATTCTCTGAAACTGTAGTTTAAGCATTCAAGGATGAATTCTTTCTTTAAGGGTTGTTGGGGGTGTGATTTGAAATAATAACTTATAAGTCACTCAAATTTGTAATCCATCCTCCTTGGGAAACATTTACAAACTCCTTGTCTGGAACTGAGACAACTCAGTCACTAATGTGTGAGTACCTGAATTCAATTCCAGGACCCACTTCAAAAGCTACCTGTGGTCATATGCTCTTGTAATCCCAGAAAATAGAAAGGCAGAGGCAGGAGGATGCCTTGGGCTCACTGGCAAGCCAGCCTACTCTATCCTGCGAGTTCTGGGTCTCAGTGAGAGACTCTGACTCTAAAACAAATTGGTTGACCATCATGAAGAACAACACCCAAATTTGACCTCTGACCTCCACATTACTGGGACGGGACCTACTGCAAATGTACCCTACACACACACATGGGCACCTCCATACCCCCACCCCACACGCACAGATGCAAAATTAAAAAAAAAAATAGAATCTCCATTTGGCACTTCAACCTTTCCCTCCATTTAAAGAAAATGTTCCCCAGACTGTGACTCAGCCTCAGAAGCCCATCTACTCGGGGCCGGGCATCCCAGAGGGAAGGGGTCCCTGCAGAAGTGACCCAGCTCCCGCAGCCCTGCTGCTAACGGCCTGCACTTGCCTCTCCTCCTTCCCTTCAGCCTGTGGTCCGAGGCCCTAGGTGTTCAATCATGTTCTTTCTGCTTGTAAATGTGGAAATACTCGGGGCATTTTACGGCTTTCAACTCCACTGAGTCTGAATCTAATTTGAGAATTCCATCAGCCCATAAAAGACGTTTACCAGCTCACAAACCTTTCACTGGCTAGGCCCGGAGTGGTTGACATCTCAATGAAAAGGCAGCTGATGACAGGTTGGAGTATGGCAGGGAGACCTAGGAGCACACAGTGCATGTGCACAGTCCCCAGACCCCTGTCTGTCCCACGGTGCTGGCACTTGGCAAAAGCCCAAAGTTAGCCACTTGGTGATGCTTGCTCGGCTCCCAGTCTGGCTAGACCACTGATGCTATCATCCCCACTTTCAACCTTAAGAAAATGTTTGCCCAATGCTACTTCGCCTTCATCTTCTTTTTTCACAGTTACCTAACTACAGCGAAAGGGAAATTGTCTTGTCTTTGCTACACAGATGCCCAATGCCATAGCCATGACTGGATCTAGTCAGGGCCACTGAGCCTGGCCCTGGGACAGTCAGATTCTGAAAGAGGCCCTGATGTAGCATGAAGTCTGAACTCTCCGTCTTCAAGATCTGGGACACTGGTGGAAACAGTCCCTCGTGGGATACTGAACCAGAGGGAAAAAAAACTGGTCTGTAGTGGGTAGCCATTCCAGCTTGGATCTGGAAGCTCCAACCCCCATTGAGACTCTGGCAACTGTCACGCCAACGAGGCGGGGCAAGGGGAGGTGCTGGAAACCTGAGAGCTGGATGGGCAAGCGCTCGCTCTGGGCGCGCTCTCTGTGCCTGGACCCTGGATGGTGGAGACTGATTGTGCAGAGCTCCAGAGAACACCGCTGGATTGCTATACGCCTTCCCCAGACCCCCGCAACCTATCCATTCCTTCATTTGTAAGTCATCCACTAAATAAATCTTCCTTTTAACTACGTGGAGTGGCCTTTATAATTTTCCCCAATACTGGTCACCTGCTGCTTTTCCTGGGGCAGGCAGGAAAACAGCAGGGACAAACTCAGAAATCAGAAGTGCTGGCACCAAGTGCAAGGGGCAGAATTCTTGCTTGTCAGGATTTCCTATCCTAAGGCCATCAGGTCACAGAGAGCTGTCTCTCCGCACAGCATTTAGCCTCCTGCCCACAGCGGCACAGTTTTGTTTTGTTTTGTTTTTTTGAAGGATTACGTTTCGCCTTCAAAGTTCATCAATGTTTTCTTTGTACTCATAAACATAAAAGCCTGTCTAAATGCAAAATCCACAGTCCATGTGTACTCTCAGTGGGCCCTAGGGAGCATCAAGGGGCCACTTTCTGTCACTCAGGCGTACGTTCAGGAAGACTCATCCCGCATCTGCCATTCCCTAGATCTGTGACCTTGGGAAAGTCACAAAGCTGTGTTAGTTTCCTCCCCTGCAGAGTCAGAACCACTGCATTTTTATTGTCAGGGGAGAGCTGTAAAGAAGACCAGGAGACAGGGAAAGAAGCAGAGGGTCGTACACAACCAACAGAAGCTTTGTGTAGGAGAGTGTGTGCTATTTTACTCTCAGGGTCGAAAGGAAAACCCAACGTGTTTCCAACGGGAGGAGAATTTCTTCCCACAGTGCTGAGCTTACTCCCTGTCTGTTCCACGCAAAGCACCTCCTGTGACAGGGAATTCTCCCCACCTTTCCCTTCCACCGGGTATCCTAGACAACCTGTAGATAGACAGTTCCACTAGAAAATCTCTCTCTTGAATGGACGTCCATCCCTTTTTCTTACCTCTATTAATTCTGCAGGAATCACTTGTATCCCATTGAGAGCCACCATGGACATGAACTTGAAAGTAATTCCTTAACATACATAAGCCACATAGTGGAAGACTCGGAAATGCTGTCTTGTCTGAGTCAAACCTTCTGTGTTTCCAGAAAAGCAGATCTGAACATGGCAATCCTGAGTTTAAATGAGCTCCCAAACCTTAAAAAGAAATCTTGGAAATTGGTCTTAAGCCAGTGTGTGAGCTGAATCAACTCTCAGCCAGGGCTGCAATCAGGGGCACTGACAGGTGACCTTATAAGGCTGTGCGGTTCTCATGGGATCCCAGTTAGCTCCCTGGCAGGAAGGTTACTGTAGCAGAGCCAGACTGGCCTCTTCAAGCTCTCTGCTTCTCTGGCTCACCACGTGATCCTTCTTGCCTCCACTATGACAAGCATCCACCCTGATGCTTTTGACCCACATTCCACCACATTGTTCAAACTCTCTGCCTTCAGAACCGTGAGCTAAGTAAATTTTACTTCGCTAGTTACTTGACTTCAAGTATTTTGTTGTAGCAATGCAAAGTGGGCAGGTCCAACATTTTTCAAGTCAAGAAACTGGGGCACGCAGTATGTAACTGCCCAAGGTCACCCATCCAGTGGAAGAATTAAGGTTTCAATTAAGCAAGCCCGCTCCAGAGTGTGTTCGTACATGGTGTTGCCTTTCAGGGCATCAGAATCTCTTCTCCTCCTTTCATGAGGTAAATCATAGAGATGCCATAGAAAAGGAATCTTGCAGGTAACTCTGAGATGGAAAGGGAATCATAAAGTGGAAACTGGGCCTAGCATGGATCAGTTACCTTGATTCACCTTCACAACAGAGGAGAGATTTTTGAGGCAATTATTCCCATGCCAGCGCATGCATTCATTCATTTATCCATTTATAATAACTTCTCTGAAGCTCTCTCTTAATGAATACCTCGCACGATCCTCACAACCATCCCATGCAAACTATGTTGATTGATTGACAGTGTGATACTAACACGTGCACACTACAGAGCTCTGAACTGAGGGTAAGTCACCCAAATATCGGTATCCCTATCCCTACCTGGTGCCAGGTAAATGGGAAGGTCTTGGGCATTTCGACTCACTGTGATCTCTACAGCTCCTTGAATCTTTTTTATTTTCTCGTGCTCAGCAATGAACTATTAGCAAGAAATAAAGCATTAAAAAAAACAGCACAACCTATTGCCTTTAGTTTATTTTTTTATTTGAACATCAAATACATTGAGAAGATGGTTTACAGGTGCTTGAGCATCCCACTGGATTCTTTACTGGTTCAAGGTGCAAAAGAGGCTTACAAGTGTGTTTCCTTAAACAAAGCAAAGCTGCAACAAAACAGGATCACATCAATAGTAGTGTGCATCAGTAGCAGAGTGTATTTAGTCCATCAAGCACAATTGGACATCTGTGCCTTTCCTCGGAAAACAAGAGCTCTACACTGAAGAATATGTAGTGCACAAAAAGCATTGTTTGTAAGCTGTGTAAGAACATAAACTGGCATAATGTCACTTATTAATTCAAGTCTCTATGACCAATGACCTCTCCGTGAATGCAAAGGGGTCCATGTCTTAGGCACCTGCTCATGGGACTGTGTGTTATATTTCCAGGGTGCACAGCTCTGTACAAAGACACTAAAGATGGGTTTGGAACATGGCAGCATTTACATATCTTAAAATTTCAGGCACATTTGGATGCAAAAGAAAGAAAAATAAAAGCGAACAGAAATTTATCTCAAATCTCTGACAGTGCAAAATTGAAGTTCCATAACTGAGACAACAACCACTTAGAAAACAAGTTTACAGGACTTTAAATGAGACCATACCTTAATTTAAATGGAAAAGAGATGAAGCTAGAAATAGAGCACACTCACACTAATGAAAGGATGGCTGTTTGGGACCATGGTTAGATTCGTTTGCTCCAGTTGAAAGGGAGTCCATTTTCATGGAGTTAATCTAGGAAGTGTATGCTGGATCAACCTCCCAAGACTTGCACCAAAGAGAATCATGGTTGCCTTGTGAGCTACTGTATGACTCTATTTGCCTTTAAAAGACTTAGGTTCCCCAAGCAGATCTGACTGTGAATATTAGACATTACTATGGTCCTAGTGATCGTTCTCAGTATCCACAGTACAACTCGGAGTTGCAAAGCATGAATAGGAAGAGATTTGTCATTGACTTCACGCAGGGATATGGGTAACTCCAAACCCATGGCTGGAGTCAAAGACCTTTTCAATGTGTAAGACTTTGAAGTCTGGACACGACAGTGTAATTAAAAGGAAATTATTAATAAGTCACTTACTTGTTCAGCCCTCCCCCCTACAAAGACAAAAGATATGTCATGGAAAAACATATCTGCTATGTTCTCAGGGAAATCTGTCAAAGATGGCACTTCTTTGGGGACTGGATTTTGTCACTTACATTGATAGGGTCTTCTCTTTGGACGACCAGAATCAAATCAGCAGGCGAAGCAATGGCTAAAGGAAACTCAGGCAGACCCCTTGCTGGATTATTCTTTGGATTTTACTGCTGCCTCCACACTCTTCCTCGGAATTCAAGCCGACATTTTGGAAATGGCTACCCATGGAGCTACTTATTATTTCATTACAGTGCAGATAGAAAGGAAATTCTGAAACCTGGAGCACAGTCAAGGTGCCAGAGTACTCTCTGTACTCTCTATCACCATTTCCCCCATTCTTCCAGTTCCCAGATCTACGTTCCCACCTCAGCCCAACTCTAGACAGATCATGGCATTCCAATTTTAAATTGCCTCCAGGTGGGAGAAAGGTACAGGTATGACTCTCTGGCATGTCCCCAATGCCCCCAACACAACAGCAGCTGAAATATGTCAGCTGCTCAGAATTGGCACTTCAGATAAGGGTAAAAAGAGATTTCCAAACATTATTTGAAACTTGTGGGCTAATACTTCAGCTGTCTGGTGTTCTCTGCCTATTTCAAATGTGTTATCATAACATGAATACAAACACAGTCGATGGATAATGCAAAACCCTCCACTAGAGTATTGTTTGGATTTAGCTGGTATTACATCATCTAAAGTCCTAGAAGTTTTTTTTTTATATTTTTGTTTTTATTTTTGTAAAAGAAAAATCTCAGTATAAACATTAAAAAGAACCCACTGACCCATTAGCTACTGTCCAAAAATATTACTACTGATATTTTGGTAAAAGCAAAATTAGCTGCCCTGAATAATTTTCCTTATCAGGCATAATCTCTGCTACATAAGATTGTCTATCATTCAACATCCAACAATAGGCATACAGATTAGTGCTATTTTGTCTACTGTGGATACAAAAGTTGATATGAAATGTGATCTTCATTTAAATGAAAATCACCAGGCTTTAGGTATTAATAACTGCATACATGACATGGTAGCTTGAAAAGTCTACAAAAAACCTAAATATTTTTCCCTTGGTTTTTGCAATGTTAAAACCCAGTCAAATTAAAACTCAGAACAGAACTATTACATTCAATTGTCTGATAAACGAGCAATTCAATTTCAAAAAAATATATATTATACTATATAAGGTGCTTTTAAACAAATACAAACAAATGAATTATGTCCTTAAACATATTCTTAAAGCAGATACATAAAATTGTCCCAGAATTTGATGCACAAATAGGAAAAATTAAAAAAAGGAGAAAAAACAATGGCCCTCCCAGTTTCCCAGTTCTTTGGTAGTCACTTAACCGGGAGGCCAGAAATTAATGGAACCCACCATTCCAAAGAGGACAGACCAAGAGAAACCTAGCCATTCACCTGGGTTGTTGGCTAACACGTCACAGCTCGATGGAGTTCAAATTATGGATAATGAAGTCAGGGAAGGAAACCAACCTTTCATTTTGATCAAGCACAGGAAATAATCCTTAGTTTCACTAGAGAGGCCAACACCCCAGGGGGCGTGGGTAGGGGTGGCTAGGGTAGGCCTTTCTTTTTATCCCCTTGGTCAAAGGTCTCTCATGGCCCAATTCTGGCCTCAGTCTCTGCCTTATGAAGTTTAAGAACATGAGCTGTGGAGAGGGATGAATTTTCCTCCCCAGGGCCACACCAGCTGGTTCGGGGATGAGTTCCGAATAGACAAGGACACTCTAATCTGAGCAACCCCTCATCAGCCTGAGTCATGAGTGCTCCAAGACCTTGCCCCCATGCCTCCCTCAAGCTTCTGGAGGATCTGAAGGAACTCAGATATCTACCGTCGACTCATCATTTCAGGCCCATACCTGGAATGAAGAGGCCACCAGCCAGTGGATCCGAGGGCAGCTCCACTGTGTGTTGCTGTGAAGGATACTCCAGGGAAGCTGCTGCCTATGGCTGGGTCTTTCTGCACATTTCTCCTTCTTGTTCAGACTCCTTTTGAGTCACAGTCATTGTACATTTATTATGTGCTCTCCACTCAAGAATAAAACTAAGTAAAACAAAAGGTATAGTCAGAGCATAGGTTCGTTGTAACTGCCCTTGGTTGCTCTACAAGGGGACAGACAATTCAGGGCAGTTCACATGGGGAGGAGACAAGGAGAGTGCCCTCTGCTGATGAATGCTAGACTCACCAAAGCAAGTACCCAAGCCGCCTTTACTGCAAACCCCAGGGGCAGAAGGGTAATTATAAAATGAAAATCAAATAAGATCCAAACACCCTATAGCCCTCATGTCAGGGTGTTAACTGAAACTGACTTACTGGTTCCCACAAGTCGTGGGAAAAAGAATTATCTAGAACCCATGACCTGTGTACAGTGCTCAGCAGTTGACGCTTTAGAAGCTGGAAGGTGCAGTGTATTAAGTTGACAGGGTCTTGACAACAGGAGCCGGGGGGTGGGGTGGGGGCTTCCTTCCCTGTGTGCATCTTGTATTCCTATAGGGGCTCAATAGTTCCCTTTAATCAAGTCAAATGTTGCTATAGGAATACAAGAGAGTGCATTACGGAACCCATGAGATAGCTTTCTCGAAGGCTTCAATTAAAGGAGCCACTTCAAAGTCTTTGCTGAGGCTTACTCTTGGAGCCATATACAAAGTGCTTATCGGAGGTGAAATGTCAACTCTCTAGGCTTGGGTCTCAACTAGTAGCTTCAATGCAGTTATCTCAATTTGGTCATGAAGACTACAGGAATCCTCAGACTTAGCGATGTAGCAAAGGGGGAAACAGCTGTTACCAAGAATTAGCCCTGGAATCCCTTTTGGCTGTTCCCAACAGAAGACATGCCACTAAGAACTGAGCAAGCAAATGAATGGTCACTCATACTAGAAAGCCACTGGTGGTGGACGCATGCCAGAGTGTATGCAGGAGACAGAATTCTGCTAAAGTGATACATAACATGGGGAAAATGCTGCAGGGATTCTCAGAGCCTTGGGGGAGCCTGGGAGCTCTCAGATTGTGTTGGGAAAACCCTCTGCTTCTGGGGGGATGTAGTAGGTTTGTAAGGAATGTGCTGAAGTGGAGCTGGCGGTGGTCAGCTGGCTCTGGCTGGGCTCCTCTGGGGAGACCCCCATGCGACTGGTTGGGGCATGGAGGCGGTGAGCATCCAACATCTCCAGCAGCAGGTCATAGAGGGGTACAACGTTCTTGCATTTCATGTTGTAGAGATGCTCCATGCCTTTGTTACTGGAGAAGGGACAAAAAGGGAAGCAGGTTAGACCAGAGCTGAACTCCAGGATGGCTGAAATTTCTCCGAGGATGAACTAAGAGAAACTCCAAAGGCACTTGTGACCCAATCTTTCTACCATTTAGGGATTCATCTTAGGATGGCATCTGTCAAGGCCAAGGGAGAAAATAGGAAGACAAGAGAGTAGCCAAATGGCTTTTCTCTTTTCTCTTGTCCCTCTTTGCTCTCTCAGGCAGGTAGGCAGTGGAGGCAGGAAACCATAACTCTTTCATGGCTTGAAATTTTCTTTTATAAGAAGTATGGACTTGGGTGTGATGGAGCATGCCCGTAATCCTAGTGCTTGGAGCAGGGTAGGGTAAAAACTACAAATTCAAGGCTAGCCTAAGTTATGTTGTATTGTCCAGGCTAGCTTCAACTCTACAATCAGAACATATTTCAAAATAACCAAAACTAGAACAAAATAAAATAGACTATAGCAATGTAGATCATAGACATAACAAAGAGAATGTTCTAATAATACTTATATCTTTGGTGGTAACAAGCTAGCCCAGGTTTGAGCAGTGCCACAAAACACATGACAACCATCAAGAACTGAAATCCAACCTCAATCACATGTTTAAGTGTTATTTTGTTTTTGTTTTGCCTTTTAATTTAAAGCACTGTTGACATTAAGTGCCCCAGCTCTGTCACTGTGTTTCTCCTACAGCCTAATGAATCACATTTACAGTCTGATCAAACCTGGCATTAAATTATTTATGTTACGACCCTAACACATGGTTCGGGCCAAGCTAACCCAACAAGAATTCCGCGATTCAGACTGGCTGCGGGGAGGCAATCTGTACAAAGTCAGTATTTTATATTAGGCATGTGTGCCTTTATGGACTGTCACAGAGAGAGCAGAGAGAGGCTCAAAGCCTTCAGTAAAATATTCACTTCTCGTTTGTATTTCACAGTTACAAAGCTCTCTGCCACGCCCCCTGCATCACATTGTTAGTACAACCAGCCATGGCTGGCATGTCTTGTGAAGGTACTTGGTGTTAACTAACGAGGCTTGCTGATACTGACAAGCCAGACACATAATTCATTTGAAAAGTCATGGATTCTTATCAACTAAAAGCACTCATAGGGGTCATGTGGTTTCTATAAATCCCCCAAAGAATAAGTCATCATGTTCTCTTCAAGAAGAAACCCAATCTCTCAGCCGGGTATTTTGGCAGGGATCTGTCCTTCTGAGTCATTCCCTGTGGCCCTCTCTAGGACACCATCAGAAGTTGATGAAGGGTTAGACATGCTTCCCTTGAATGTGATCGTCTACTTGTGGTCCACTAGCTAGAATCTGGGACTTACCACCTTGACTTGCTTAGCTGATGAGACATTACTGAAGCATCGCAATGCTCTTGCTCAAATGGGCTGGCTTTCTTGTGCCTCTGCTGATGCTAGAGCATGTCCTAGTTAAGCTGGGGTACAAGAAGAACGACATGCACAAAACAGAGTCGCCTGGCCCAGTTGTAGGGCTGGATGCAGGTCTTCTATCTATGTCCCACAGAGGTGTAAGTGAGCCCAGCTGAGACCCTCCAGAGACACTCAGTCTGAAGTCTGCAGTGGGGCTATACAAATCACTTGCAGAATAGCCACTGTCTCAAGGCTTCCAGTTATGAAGGAGTCCCAGAAAGATAACTAACAAGGACTTCATCACAAGGAATAACATAAGCAAAACAAAAGGGTGACATGCTTTTATCAAAAAGCAAAAGGAACCCCCTAGAATAATTAAAGTAGGGGGATGATATAATCTTGCTTGATTTCACAGTGAGCACTCTGGCTCCTTTAGCAGGGATGCAGTAGAAAAGACTGAGATCAGGAAACATGCTATGGGGTGCAGAAGTGACTGATGGTGGCTTGGATTTGGGTAAGGGCAATGGAGATGACAAGAAGGTTCTGGTAGCTATGGATGTATCAATGTTGACTCTGCATCCATCTTTTAGCCCAGGGGTCTTTCATGCAGCATTCCCCGATATACGTCACTAGGGGGTAATGCCAGGACCATAACAGATATGCCTGATGACTTGAGAGATGGCTTATGCTCATTAAGGCCCTTTGAGTGGACTCTTCTCACCACCCAATGAGCATTGCATATCCTTCAAACCATCAGTACATATCACTTCCTCTAGGGACCCTTCTCTGATGCTTGTCCATTGCTCCAGGTAGGTTCTGTGGCTCTCTTCTGTCCTCCCCTAGTCTTTTGAGTCAGACGTCTTTCCTAGGGTACTTTGCCTACTCATTCAGCAGCCTGTCGTATGTCAGCTGCCACACAGAGTTGGTTGGGTCAGTATCTTTTGTCTCTTCTGTGAGACCCAGAGCTGCCTCACCTCATGTGCCGGATGTGGGAGAGAATGAGGAGGAGCTGGGCCAGACGACGATGCTGCTGCTGCAGAGTCAGGCCAGCTTTGGCCATCAGGTGGATCAAAGTGTCTGTGATCTTATCCAGGACTCGGTGGATGTGGTCCTTCTCTTCCAGAGACTTCAAGGTGCTGGACAGAAATGTGTACACTCCTGAATACACAGAGAGAAAGAAAGATTCAAAGAGGATGTGGTCATGGAGACAGAAGCATCCCTGGGATGCCATGCTGAGAGGAAGCTTCTTCTGACAGCTGTACAACAATGTGGACACATTTGACACCAAGAGATGCCGTAGCATTTTTAATGAGTATGTATATCTTCCAGCCTCGAGAAGCCAGCAAAGCCTCTTGTGTCTAGCCAAGATTCTCTGAAAAGGACCATTAATCTTGCAGCCATAATGGGACATTGACCATCTCTTCTTGGGTACCTCTAACATCAACATGACTGTTCATTCAGTGCTGACCACAACCCCAAGGGGAAACCATCATTGCTTCCTTGGAAGGACAAAGAGATGTGCTACCTACTAAGAGTACTCAAGTGTTATGTTGGGGTACTTAGGCTATACTTCATATACCAACTCCACTTCTGGTAATGATGGGCAGACTGTCCTCCAGGAAATACAGGACACCCCATATAAGCTTCACAAGGAGTTATGAGTCATTGGCTAAGTGATTAAAAGATAATTACTTGAGGTAGAGGTTATTTTTGCCTCTGCTTTTGGCAAGGTTTGGAGTCTACACAAATTTTAGTCTTGATTGAACATGTGTGACACGGGTGTTTCCAGAGGACTCTGGGAATAGCTGCTTCTCTTGCCAGGAAAATGTTTCCTCTCTTGACTCTCTACTGTCTCTGCAAAAGGTAGGCTGGGCAGAGACCTTCAGGATGTCTGTTCCTCAGACCAGCACAGTCCCAGCTAGGCAATCAGAGTCCTCCTCAAGAGGCGCTAGTTTGGGGGGAGGAGATGCTTAATGGGATGCTGTACAGGGTGCTTAACCACCCTCTTTTTGCCTGTGAAGCCCTATCTGCAAAAGGCACCCAGCAACAACAGTCAGGAGAAAGAGATACATGGGTTGGGGGGAAGTGAGGAAAGAAGGGAGAGGTAAGGGGAGGATGAAGGGAGAGAGGAAGGAGGCAGGAATGGAGAGATGGTGGCGAGAGAAGGGGATGAGAGAGTGGGGGGATGGGTAGAGAAAGGAGAGATGGGAGAAGACAGCAAGGTGAACGATGAAATGGGAGAGAAACCGGTGAGAGAAAAGAGAAGGAAGGGGAGAACGAGAAGGAGGGGGGAGGAGGAACGGGGGAGGAAAAAGGGAGAAGAGGAAGGAGTGGGTGAGGAGAGGGAGGAGAGAGAGAAGAGAGAGGAGGAGAATGGGAGGGAATGAGGAGGAGGAGGGGGTAAGGAGGAGGAGGGGGTGAGCAGAGCAAGGAGGAGGGGAAGGGGGAGGAAGAGAGGGGGAAGAGGAGGGAGAAGAGGGGAAAGAGAGGGAAGAGGAGAGGGGGAAGAGGTGAGGAGGAGAAAGGAGAGGAGGGGGAAGAGAGGTAGGAGGGGGAGGGGGAAGGAACACATCAGTTTCCATCCCAGATCCTCCCTGTGTGTATTCTTTTTGCCCTTGGAGCTTTCACGGTGTACCTCCTATCAGGCGAGGCTACAGAGTCCCTCTTTGCTTAAGATCCTGTGAGCTGGGTTCCTGTCACTTGCCTTGGGAAGAAAGAAGAGGATAGGAGGAGGATGAGGGCAAGAGAAGGGAGGAGGAGGTGAGGAGCACTGAGAACAAAGGGAAGGCAGGATGGAGCAGTGCGCTCTTGGCTTTTCCCTCAACTCCCCCTTTGGGGTGGGAATAAGCTCCTCTAGCCTACACTCACCACCTTATGGGGTGCAGGGGATGCCGGATGACCTCCCCAGTTGGCTTCCTTCTCTCTCTGCTCACCCCACTGGACAGTTCATAACTCTTTCCCCTCCCGCTGCTCAGGCACACCAGCACCTTCCAGTTAAAGGCTCCAGAGTGTCAGCACTGGCTGACTTTAATGCTGATGTTGTGACAAGTGGCAGCCTGCACTGCAGCCCGAGGGTTGAAAAACGAAGGAAAAAAACGCCTACCCTGAGGAACTCATAGTAAACAGTGGTAATTGCCCAGAGTCGAAAATGGCCGCGTTTAAAACAAACAAAACAACAGAAGAAGGCTGGCCCTGCTCTTTCTTGGCTGCTGTGGATCTCAGGGGAATCATACAGCTTCTGGCACGGGCAGGCACATTGATCCACAGCAGGTATGGCAAAGAATCCCGAGCAGGCAGATGCTCAAGACACTCCTGATAAATTATAAGGCTAGTCCTAACCTTTATGTTTCAGATTCGTTGTCTCCTTAAATGCCCATGCGTGTTCTCGTTTATCTTGGTGGATTATGTCCAACTTTGGAGTGTACTCCTTGTTTTCTGGCTGCCGAACACTGGGCACTTACCTGTAGCTTGAACTGCTCACTATCTACATTTTAATGTTAGCTCCCTCTTGTTCTTTACCTACAAAAATCTGAAAGCTCATTTCTTTTACCGGTAATTTTTATGTTACAGAGAAAATGGACCGTTCCAAGGAACACATTTTTTTTTTTAAATTGTGAAGGAGAAAAGGAGTAAACGGGAATCAAAATTGGGGATCTTTTGGGAATTGTTTAAATGCTATGCATCGTTGACATATTTTCACCAACAGCGCCATTGTGGGCTGGTCAGGTTAGATTGAAGAGTCCATTGTTTTTGATTCATCCTGTTACCTAATAGGACTTACTCCAACTTGGCTGAATTGTTGATGGCAGCTCTTACATTGCTCTCAAATAGCTGCATGGGTGAGAACTGCATTAAATACTCACGAGAAGTCATGCTCAAGTCTCTGGCCTGTGCTGGGGATAGCAAACCCTCCTAGTAGTAACACATCATTAAGTTCATTCTTTTCAGTGCTGGGGACCAAGTCCAGAGACTTGGGTCTACTATGGAGTTTTCCCAAAGCCTGCAACCCACTATCTCTTTTTAACTTTCAGCTTATTTTATCTTTATTTAATGAAGGTATAATTTTTTTTATGAGACAGGGTTTCTCTGTGTAGCATCCTAGAGTGTTGACAAAGATTCCAATGTATAAAGCTATCATCCAGATCAAAGTCTAAACCATCTCAGCCGCCCTCAGAAAAATCCCTTTTGCCCTTACCCAGAACACCTACCATTCTGCTCAAACCAGTAATAATCAGCCTTGGACATGAGGGCGCATGTGAGTATCACCCACCATTTTAATGGGCTGATTTAAATTCTTATCATTTTGCAAGTTGCCACTGGGTTAATATTGTAAATTGCTCCTTTATTCTGAAGCTGTGGTGGCCCCTGACCCCTAGAATAAGAAATGAACAATATTCTGCCTTTCATTAGAGGCCCCTCTCTGTTCCTCAATGTGCTGTAACGTGCAATATTTGAAACACGGGTCTTCAGAAAGCCAAAGACCAACCCTGAGGGTTGACACCTGACATGGAACCAGAGTGCATCTCAGAGTTCACCTGAACTTTGTTCTTCTTCACAAGTTTACAGAGTTTTGTTAAAAAATTACCCATTTGAACCTCTTAAGAAACCTTGCATGCACAAAAAAGAGTATGATTCTCCAGGCGGTGGTGCATGCCTTTAATCCCAGCGCTTGGGAGTCAAAGCCAGGTGGATCTCTATGAGTTCAAGGCCAGCCTGGTCTACAGAGTGAAATCCAGGACAGGCACCAAAACTACACAAAAGAAACCCTGTCTCAGGCCCTTCCCCCTGCAAAAAAGAGTATGTTTCATATACATCACTTTTAAAGAATAAAAGTTAAATACATTGCCTGAGAAATACAGCCTGTATTGTGTGCTTCTTTATTAGGTCTCTCTTCTTATTCCTAGGCATTACTAGTATTAAAATTTTACTTTAAATGTTTTCTTTTCCTTCAGTATTACTATAATGTGTACTCATGAACTATAAAACTATTAAGTTATATACACATATATAGTTACATATACATGTTATTTCCTAAAAATTGTTACATTCTATACTTCTGCAGTGTGATTTACCAACAGCACATTTTTTAAGGTTTGCTTTATACAGATAAAGAAATGACTGGGTCGTGTCCTGCCTATGTTCCATGGGGACTGGTAACAAAGAGTTAAGTCCATCAGAAGATGAAGGGAGCGTCCAGTGGCCATGGTGTTGTAAATTGCAGGTGGTACTGAGGTGTGCCTTGGTGTATTGGGCTTGGCTTCAGCTCCCCATGGCTCTGTCTCTGAGGCTTATCCCGTGTGTCATCACCCAGATCTCCTAGAATTCTTCTGCCTTACCACAGGATGGATGTCCTGGGAACCTGCCCAGCCCCAGAAGCTGAGTTAGTTCAAATTGAGTGATGAAATTTCGACCCACTTTCTTTCTGTTATGACCCAGGATACTGGCTTCTTTCTACAGTAACCCTCTCTTGTTCAAGAAAACCTCAGAATCTACCATCTAATAGCTTTTGGGTTCTTGCCAAGGGAAGTACCGCCCTCAACACACACACACATTGCTTCTTTCCCCTGTACACACCTGTGCTGAACTTCAGCACACCCCAGGGCCAGCATAGTTTGGTGTTTTTTGTTTTTGTTTTTGTTTTTCAATGCAGGAAAAACACATGATACCCCGACTCAGCCAGCCAAGTTTTCTTTTGGGTGGCCGAGTTTGTGTTCTCCACAGTGCACATGCTTGCCTGGGTTCCTTCACCCAGCAAGCACCCATTGAGAACTTTCTGTATACCTCACTATGTTATCCAACAAGGATTCCAAGCTTTCTTTCCTTTGAAGAGTTAATGTTTTAAGAGAAGATACTGCCTGTGGAGAGAGAATTCTCTTCACACACACTCCCAGAACGGAGACCGTTTCTCTGAGCAAGCCTGTTTTTCTAGTCTGCTTTGGCACCGGCTCAGCTTATCACCTCATCCTTGTCCACATGTGCTTCCTAGCTGTGCAAATATATTCTGAAATAAAAATACAGTCCTGCCTAAATGCCAATAACTGACAACAGCCGCCATCATCCTTTTGGACTTCCCTGGCAAAATACAATCCCGTGTTTGCTGCCCGGTGTCCTTAAGGAGCTGTTGAAGAAACAAAAGCCACCCCAGATTCCCAGAATGC